TTAGAAAAGTTTAATAAAAAGGATAGTAGTCTTGTAAAGACTCCTGTTGATGTAAATCTTCATTTATCGAAAAATACTGGTCCTAGCATATCACAACTTGAGTATTCTCGCATTATAGGAAGCTTAATGTATTTGACGAATTGCACACGACCAGACATAGCATACTCAATTAATAAATTGAGTAGATATACTAGTAATCCAGGAAAGAACCATTGGACTGCAATAATCAAGGTTCTAAGGTATTTAAAATATACTATAAGTTATGGATTACATTATTCTAGATATCCAGCAGTACTTGAAGGATACAGTGATGTTAATTGGATATCAGATACAAAGGATTCTAAATCCACAAGTGGCTATGTCTTTACTATTGGAGGAGGTGCCATATCTTGGAAATCTTCAAAACAAACTTGTATTGCTAGATCCACTATGGAATCTGAATTTATTGCTTTGGATAAAGCTGGTGAAGAAGCTGAGTGGCTTCGTAATTTCTTAGAAGATATTCCAAATTGGCCTAAACCGGTGCCCGCTATATGTATACATTGTGATAGTCAATCAGCAATTGGAAGGGCACAAAGTAATATGTACAACGGTAAGTCTCGACATATACGTCGACGACATAATACCGTTAGATAATTGCTCTCAAGTGGGATAATCTCAATAGATTATATCAGGTCAAAAGATAATTTAGCGGATCCATTTACAAAAGGTTTGACAAGAGAGCAAGTGTATAGTTCATCGAGGGGAATGGGATTAAAGCCGAAAGCTAACGAGTCATTTTAATGAAAACCCAACCTAGTTGACTGGAGATCCCAAGATCTAGGTTCAAAGGGACAACAGAAATTCTGAATAGCTCACCAGAAGCACTGGGAAAATTTAATCTTCTACCCATTTCTATGATGAGACAGTGTTACCTACAGCGATGAGTAGGATATGCTATGCTTTTAATGACTCTTATATCTTGAAAATTCAAGTGGGGTATGGTAGGATACTCTTAATAAGAAGTCACCTATATGAGTGTGAAGTGGGGCCGCTTCTATGAAAACTTCTAAAGCTAAGTTTTCTAAAGCTCTCATGAAATACCAGGCGTTGTTTAGGGCCATATGAACACAACCATGAGAACCGACTCTGTGCGGGAAGGAACTGTGTGTTTACTATTGTCTTGGTTTACATAAATGGCTGAACAGTTCAAGACATCATGTTCACTGGTTAGCCAGTAAATCCGATAGTAATACACTAGGGAAGGTTCAAGGCCAAAAGCTACCTATCCCGATGCAGTAACTTTTCAATAGTACTCTCTATAGTGTTTGTATCTTCTCCTTTTGTAATCTGCGCAAATTTTCATTCATGTGGGGGATTGTTGGAAACGGCATTAGAAAACGCAAACTTTGGAAGGATTTTTAAAAGATTCCGCTAAGAATTTTTTACGAATCTATTGACGAGCGCGTTCCTCTCTGCGAGGAGATGAACGTGGTATATTTATTTTCTCAAATCCGTTTCCGGGTGAATGAGAAATTGGCTCCAAAGTAAGTGATTTATAAAGCCTAAATGGGTGTGAATAAAGTGGGAAATGCTTGTCCCACATCGAAAAAGTAGTAAAGCAACCTTGAGTATATATATGTCTAGTATGGGATTTGGGTTTGGGCCCAAGGGCACCCAAGTTTTTAAGAGGGGGAGGACCTAGGTTAGCCTGGATCCGAACCAACTACCATACACGCGCGCGCCGCCCGCCCGGTCCGGGCTAGGGCGGGGCGGGGCTTGATTGTGAAATGGGTTTAACTTTTTACACAAAGTTGGGATGGGCCTGTGTGGTTGAATTTTATTTTGTTGCTGGACTTATCAAAATGTGCCTGTTTACTGGGCTGAATTAATGGCCGCCGAGTTGGATTATTTGCTTGCTGGATTGGACGAAATTAAAGGGCTGGGCTGGATTAGAATTAAAACGGTTTGGGTTTATTTAAACCATAAATCAGTTTTATTTTTGAACCAAGGTTGCACCCTTTACAAATTAAAAATCACCAACAGATTTTTAATTTTGATTGGTCAACAATGGTTGCACCCATTCGGACTATGGGTGCACCCATTCAGAATAGGCACCAACAAGCCTATAAATACCCATCATTGGGTTCATTTCAATTCACACCAATTCAGAAATCTTCTTCTCTTCTTCTAATTCATCTTTGTTCGGTTCAGCCACTGGTTTGGGTTCAACCTAAACTGGTTTGGATTGGGTTCGAACCTTGGTTTCCAAGTTTGGGTTCAATCTTGGTCTCCGAGTTAGGGTTCAATCCTGGTCTCCGAGTCTGAGTTCAACTGAGAGTACTACACTGAGCCGGTTCGCCTATTCCATTGGTTTGAAGTGCTACTATCAAAGGAAGAAAAGTCGTTGTATCCTGGGAGATAGACGCCGAAGAGTCCGTTAGCACCGTAGCGAGGCGTATCTGTCTTAAGGCTATAGAATTAAATTATAGCCTCGACTTTAACAGGTTCTTTTATTATAAAGTTTTATTTTCTTGATAATAAACTATATAAATATATATAGATTATTATAATAAATATTATATTTACAAATAATATTTAAATAAATTATACTATAGTATATGATACATTTTTGATCCACGGTAGAATGGAAACTCGAATCATTTTGACTCTATTATGTTCATTGGTAATCATCTCAGAAGTATACGTCAATGCTTAGTGGATTTTATATATTGTACTGTATCAGTATAAGTGTGTGTATGTTTAATGAACCTTAATCATGAATTTTGTGTCCAGGTATGGCAATTGGTATTAGGCAATTTGAATATTCAGGTTGTGCATTTTCAAGGGTTAAATCAGATAGTGGATTGGGTTTTACAGTTGGTTCAGAATGTGTGTCTTCAATCCAAAATTTTAAAAGGGGGTGTATTTATTTGGAAGTTATGGAGGGTAAGGAACTCTGTGTTGCATGGAGAAGATCAGGAGTTGGCGTCAGTGGCAACAGATGGCATTATTTGGGAGGTGTTGAGTTTCTTCTCAATTGGTTTAGATGCTTTTAGGGATGCTTTTCCAAATGAAGTGAGCTAAAGTTCAGTTGTAGGGTGCGCTGTGGTTTGACATTCCATTTACAATATTGCATTGTGTTGTGGTTTGACAGATAAGATTTTTTCACTTTACATCTTCGACACCAATGACTTGCTGTTGGTATACCTTGATTGGTTGCTTGCATCTTCAACATCATTGACTTCTTGTTGGTTTTTCTTGATTGGTTGCTTGCACAGGGAGCTGCTGCTATTGGAATTTTTTAATGGGCTTGGTTTTTTTAATGTATCCTACTTTCATATTAGGATGGTTGGAAATGGGTTAGTCCATTTTCTTTTATGTATTGGAGAATTTCTCCAGTTGTAATTGAACTACTATTTTGATTTCTTTTATAAAATACCCCATCCAGGAAAAAAAAAAAAAAGAAAGAATTTTTGATCACATTAATTTTATTTTCTTTTATATCATTTTGTTTTATCTCTCTTTTTTTGTTTTGTTTTGTTTTGTTTGTCCTTTTTTTGACCTGTTGCATTTTAGATTTTGTTTCTTTTTAATTAGGTTTAATTATAGTTTTCTTTTTGACCTGTTGCATTTTAGATTTTGTTTCTTTTTAATTAGGTTTAATTATAGTTTTCTTCTAATGTCTACAACTTGACTTGGAATGTGCCTAATATTAATATTACTGATACAAATATGAATGGTGGTATGGTAGTCGAAAAAGAATGGTGGTTGTGTCAAAAAATAACATTTTGTATGAAATTGGAACAGAATTGCTAAAATATAACACTTTGACATTGTAATATCTATCAAAATATAGATTTGACATCCGAATTTAGCTTTTAATATTAGAGATGCTCTAACTTATACGTATATACTTTCTCATTTAGATATTATTTATTTATTTTGTAAGTGATTTCTTAACTAATTTTATACTTAAATTATCTCTTAAAAATTTGTTTGGTTCTTCTCGTCTCAAAACATAAAGACACACGTGTGCGACCGTGTTATAAATTTAAATTGAGTGTATCAAAATTAACACATTTGCAAGCATGTCATGAATCAAAATTTAGGATTTTGCTAAGAAAAAAAAAAAAAATTCTAATTTTAGGAGAGATGTCTATATGTGTTCCAATCATCCGAAGTCACCCATGCCCATCAATTAAAATAGATTCAATTGATAATTGATCAAACAAGATAATAATGACAACTATACAAAGTCAATAATGATAATATTGGGTGAGTCATTGGTTGCCCACCAAATAAACTTGCAAAATTCAATTAAATTTGTCCCATCTACATATAAACACAAACCTGTTAACTAATGAGTGCAATTGTCGATAATATACGCCTATGTTTTTTTTTTTAATTATATATTTATAAAATTATAAAATTAGACCACTAATTTTTTTTTAAAAATCCACTATTACACCTACAATATATTTTTTTATCTTATCGTTGTTAAAGCGTTCCGGCCAAATGGCATGGTACGCGGGCTCTTGTATAAAGGTGTCTTAATTATTTGATTAAATTTTAGTAGCCAAAGGGTAAAAGTTCATGGTAGACAAAACACAAGTAAATTGATCTACAAGCACACACTCTCTCAACACAAAAATTATTGGAGACCAATGTGCACCCACTAGATCAGCCCAAATCCGAGCAGCCGAGCCCAAGCATGGTGACAATGTCCACGCCCAACCCCAAACAGCCGAGCCCAAGAGTCCAACCCGAGGGCGGGAGATCGCATTTCACGTAATTGCTGGCGGGGAAATTCTCATTTCTAACTTCCGAAAATTTAAATTATAAAAAAAAAAATCTCATTTTCTCTTCCTAAATTCTAAACTTCCAACCATGGCAAAGCCCAATTTGTAAGTCCATGTAAAATACGGAGTATACACTTTCCCAATATAAATAAGGTAAAATACACACAAAAAAATACAGGTATAAATATCCATGTCATCACTTCGATATTAGTTAAGTTAAGAGCGGTTTGTATGAGTCGGTCTCTCTATTACACACATTTATACACACACTCCACGTTTGCGCCTGCGAAACCCTTCACCAACGAATCAATGGCGAAACTCTCGAAGGATTCATCGGACGAAGCTTTATCGAACGGCTCAATTTCTTCGGAAGAAGAACAAATCAACGATCAGATCAACGAGGAGGAGGAGGACGACGAGGAAGAGCTGGAGGCTGTAGCCAGAACGGCTGATACCGATGAGGACGCCGGAGACAAGTCATCGTCGGACAACGATGTCACCGCTGGTGATGAGCAGGATGAAGAAGAAGAAGAAAGCGAAGAGGTAAATTTGTGATCACACATTCCAAATTTTCGTTCACTTTTATTTTATTTTATTTTTTTATTTTATTTTTTCTTTCATGCGCGCATCGGATGTAAGCTGGTTCGTGGAGAATTTGTCGTGTTAAGTTTTGTAAGTTACGGTGAAATTGCTAATGTTTAAGTGTGCATCGATGTATCAACTATTGTTTTTAGGATTAACTGGTAAGAAACTCAAGTCAATCAGACCTAATAGTTGAATCATGTTTGGTTGACTGAAGCTTTTTAGCTTCAGTTTTAGATTCTAAAATGTTTGTATTGTGTGTGTTTTAATACATTTTCTCACAATCCAAACGGGGCATGAGAAATAATGATTCTCTCATTCTTCTATATGGAAGATACTCTCTTCATTTTTATATGGTCAATGCTAATTTGTTGTCAATTTGACTCCGACAGGAAAATAAACAATTAATGAGTATGATGAATTCATACTTGTTTTTTCTTATATTTATAGTTATGTATAATTGAACCAGCTTCTCAGGAGCTGTTGTTTTATCGATCATTTTCTTTTTTAATAATGTATCGAATTAAATTAGCTGCTTAAAAGTGTTAATCATGTCTATATTGTCTTGTTGGGTTATCCCTAATCTGTTAATACATTGGTTTTGTATTTTACTTGCAGTATGAGAATGTTGGAGGTAATAGTGAAATTGGCAAGCGTGAAAATGCCAGACTAAAAGAAATGCAAAGGTTTAAGAAACGAAAGATTCAAGAAATACTGGACACACAGAATGCTGCCATTGATGCTGATATGGTGTGTTACTCTGAAAACTTATATGTCTCTAGATCATAATTTGAATTAAGTTTTATTGGTTGTGATCTAAGGCATTAATACTAATTGCGATGACAGAACAATAGGGGAAAGGGCCGCTTCAAGTATCTCTTGGAGCAAACGGAGATATTTGCTCATTTTGCCAAGGGTGATCAGTCTACATATCAGAAGAAGTCGGGAAAGTATATTTTTTTCTTTTTGGAGAGTTTTATAATCTTTTTTTATTTTATTTTATTTTATTTTTATTTTTTATATCATAAAATGTTAGTTTTTGGGTTATTTTCTCAAATTGTTGGAACAAAACAATTTTCTATATTCACGCATTCCAGTTTTAGAACATTTCTTTGGATGGTTTGGGCGAATCGGAGCCCTTCTCATGACCACTGTTACTTTAAAGTTGTCATTGCTGACAGAAAAATGTGTATGCACTTCCTTTGGCTGTTAAAATAATGTCAATTTTGCATCAATGAACAAGTAAGGCTGAAAAAAGGTAAGAGATAAAAGAGAAGAGAAAGATGAAAGAGTTTGGTGGAGCAGGAAGTCACATATTTTATTTTTAAATAAAGAAAAGGTGTAAGAGATTTGGAAACTTGAAGGGCAAGGAAGGAGAAAAGAAGAGAAAACGGGAGCAAGAAGTTTATGCAATTGCACCTAGGGTTGTAGGTGCTCACACCCAAGAAACGATGCAACAGATATCATTAAAAAATTGGCTAAAGAGAATACTCATTCAGTACTCAAAAGTCAAAACAGAAACAAAGACATTATTTTGTTAAGGATTTCACATTGGAAGCATGGATTGAGGTGATGATTGGATGATTGAAGTTTTACTTGATAAATGATAAGAGTTACAGGTGGTGGGGATTGGTGGAAATCCCAGATAGCTCTAGGGGAAGCAAGAAGTGGACAATTGGAAATGGACCCTTTCTCCTTGAGTTCAAAGTATAAGAGTGGTTAAGGGACTATTTTGAGGGTTCCATGAAGCCTTCCTTTTGTGACTTGGTGGAGGCAGTTGGGGCTTCTTTTATGAGTGGCTTTGATAGTTGAGGATCTTCTGGCTTTCTAATGCAAGTTAAGCTTATTTATAGTGAAGGCGTAGAGATAAACTGCTGTCCTATTTGCCATATAAATGGAGGGACGATGTTAACACATGCCCTCTTTGCAACTCAATGTGAAAACTCCCTTGGTTTTTGTGATTACTTGATTAGGACACGATTCGATGTAAGCATGGACGTAATTCCTACTCAAGAAATATCGTAATATCTTTAATTATTCTAATTAAAGAAAAATAATAGCATTTATTCCGTCTTCCTTTATTTTGAATGGCTTTTAAAAAGCTGCTTCTGGCTTTTCGGGGTCAAATATCATTTTTATAAGACTGTGGAGGGACATCCATAACGATTATGACAATCACAATACTCTAGTGAAAGTTGTCACTACTTGTGTTTCTTATAGGCTTTACGATTCAGTCCTTGCATCAATTTAGGCTTTCAAGCCCTAATAATATATATATATATTCTTTTGTATATTTAGGACTTCTTTTTCATCTATTTGATAGGATGGTGGGATTTGAATTCTTGCCAAATGTGGGCAATTGTACACCAAAAGATAGAGCCTCTAAAAAATTGTCTTAAGCTTGATAATTTGAACGACTTTTGCAATATTTTCAACTTATCGTAAATTGTCGCAATAATACGACAAGATTTTCGTAAGGGATTAGCATTAGAATTTTTCTATGCAATGGACCTTCCTCACATTGAGATCTCAGGACCATCCAATATACGGCTGCTTAGCTGAATAGTTATGGCAATCTTGGTTTTGATCATGATCAATTCTATAATTCCAATTAGGGAAACACAATAACACCATTGATTATCTGAATCTTGCCTTTTAGATTGATCTAAATCTTCAAATATTATTTTCTTTTAAATTTTCTCTTCCTTTAATTTAATTTAATTTTTTTTGGGTCAAAATCACTAGCCCGGCCATGTGGTGTACTTGGTTTTGAATAAGATTAACGATTGCCGGCAATTGGGAAAGGTTGCAATGACACAAACACATTGCAGTGGATGTACTACTGCAGCTGTGAACTTTTTTTGCTCTGCTCAACTTCTAAAAGAAGTAGCGATATGCATGTTTTAATCATAGAATTCTGTTAGTTTTAGATCTTAATTGTTACTTAATAAATTTTATTGGATTTTTATAGATGCTATATGGTATAGGTGACGGCTGTTAATGAGGAAAAGTTGGAAAACTTTAATCATTTTTACTTTTCATTACTTTAAAGCCGAAAAAGCACATAACAGATAAAGAAAATTGAAAGTTATGCTAATTGGACTCAACAAGACATCCGTTTACAATGTAGAATGAAAGGAGAGAGGGAATGAAGTTTGGATGGGCAAGTGTGAGGGCAAGAATTTGATTGAGGGTAGACACGTTGTTCAAAATAATATCAAAAGGTCAGGTCTATTTTTGGTTTTCCCTCTCAACCCGTAGGCGGGCGAATATTGGGTAATGCACTTTGGAAGAAAAGATCTGCACTCGTAGTATTATAAGTGAATTAATTTTACTTCTGTAATTCTATTGTGATTGGAAATATATAGTTTCTTTGTTTAATTTTTTGAGATAGATTTTTATTTATTTATTTCTGAAGGTTAGGTTTTTACTCTTGCATCTCCGGTATTCGTACACCAGCTGTTACAAGATTTAACAAAATTAGATAAAGAGAAATTAATGCCTTTCTTTTTCCTTGGGAGATGATGTTTTATTCTTTATTATTATTATTATTGGGGTAAAATGCAAAAAACTCCTCAAACTATCACGGTTTTACGAAAGAAAAAAAACTGGATTGTTAATTTGGTAAAAAAACCTGAACTATTCAAAAGATTTGCAATGATCCCCCGTCGTTATATTTTCGTTAAAATGTAATGGAAGTTCGTAATGTGCATTGCACATGACTAATGGTGGCTTTTATGACCATTATCCCTTACGCAATTGTAATGCTTCAATATTATAAAGGATAAAATGCAAAGAAAATACCCTGAACTATCAAGTTTTTGCAAATACCCCCTGACATTGTAATAATACCCCCTAAATTATCAAAAATTGCAATTTAATCTGCTGCCATTACCTATGATGGTAAATTCTTGATTTACCCATTAATTAAATTAAGTCACTTTGCTTAGTTTTCTTTGCAAATGAGTTGACCATTAATTTCATATATATGCATTTTCATTTGTACACGCACACATGTGTATGTATGTATATCATAAGTCTTTTGCATAGTTTAGGTTTTTTCTTTCCTTCATTTTATTTTTTATTTTTTATTTTTCTTTTTTTTCTTTTAACAAATTCAATATTTCAATATATATATATTTTTTTGGGGGTGGAACAGTGATAGTTCAGGGGAATTTGTTGCCTTTTGATGGGTTTTTTTTTTTTTTTTTTCATTCTATGAGGGTAACAGCTGACTAACAAGTGGGTGTTATTTGCAAATGTTGGATAGATCAAGGATTTTTTGTAGTTCAGTTTTTTAACCCTTATTATTATTATCATTATTATTGTAGTGGTAAAGTCGGATCGACTAATGGCTTATTTGTTGTTGCTTATTGCATTATGCATTTTAATATTTAACCAAGTTCAATACTTCTCAAAGGGAAAATATCCAACCAAGTTTAGTGATGGATTTCTTCTGATTCATTTGCAATTTAGGGGTCGGCATGCATCAAAGGTAACTGAAGAGGAAGAAGATGAAGAATGTCTCAAAGATGAAGAAGATGGTCTTTCTGGGACTGGAAACACACGGCTGCTGGCACAACCCTCTTGTAAAATCTCTCTCTTTCTCTATTATTGAATAGAAACTCTCCTTTTTGTTTGTGTTTAAGCCCCTACAATCAGTAGGAATTGCATAGAGATAAATAATTATTGGTTTTTGTTTTGATAAACCCGAGCATCAGTGTTTGGACTTTTTAGTGCATTTTTGAGTGTTTCACATTATTTTTTTTAAAAATAAATTTTTGCCTTCATATTGGAATTTCGTTTTGAATTACTATAGATGTGTATGATATATTGTTCTTGTGTGTGTCAGCATTGATGCCGACATGAGATCTTAATTAATGGCTGACTAAGTGTTAAATTTGTTTCTTATTGGAACAGTATACCTGCATTTAAAATGCATTACTTAATTTATATATTAGATGAGGACCACTTTTAGAATTATTGTTATTAATTAATATAAGAAAAAAAAATTCTCATTTACAAGTTCATTTTGTGGTTGTTTATTTACACTTATGTTCCTTGTTCTCTCATGGTGGGATGTGCAAAGCTGCTAGTGGCTGAAGGGCACAATATTTGACTTACTATTATCTATTACTTTTCTTGAATGGTGATCCCTAGTTGATTATGAGAAATCTGTGTCACTAAATTTTTTTGGTTAATGTTAGATGCTTCTTCTAGAAAACTTCTTCTTTTCATTGATTTTTCTTTATGTTAAAACGTGTTCCATAAATTTTTTTGGAAGTGTTAATTTTCGTTCTTTGATTTTTCATTATGCAGGTATTCAGGGAAAGATGAGGGATTACCAGCTTGCTGGACTAAACTGGCTCATTCGCCTGTATGAGAATGGTATAAATGGAATCCTTGCAGATGAAATGGTATGTGGAAACTTTATCTTTTTTTTGATAAGTATGTGGAAACTTTATCTTTGGCATTGTTTTGCATATGTTTTGTTCTGATTGTTGAATATTTTTTCTCTCACCTGTTGCATATTGTCATTGGTGATATGTGGTTTGTAATTATTTGATTCCTAGTTCATCATGATCGTTATCAATGGTATCATTGTCCAGGGACTTGGTAAAACATTGCAAACCATCTCATTATTGGGTTATCTGAACGAATTCAGAGGAATAACTGGTCCTCACATGGTTGTTGCTCCAAAATCTACACTCGGCAACTGGATGAATGAAATTCGTCGTTTTTGTCCAGTTTTGCGTGCTGTGAAGTTTCTTGGAAATCCTGATGAAAGGGTAAGTTGGTAAAACTGCTCAAGTATTTTTTTCCCTATTTGTTGTCAGATTATTGGGTGCTTTCTTATAGAAAGAATTACTTTGTGGTAATAGTTCTTCAATATCTGATTTTGCAGAAGTATATACGTGAGGAATTACTGGTTGCTGGGAAGTTTGATGTATGTGTCACTAGTTTTGAAATGGCCATTAAAGAGAAAACTGCCTTACGTCGCTTTAGCTGGCGTTACATTATCATTGATGAAGCTCATCGAATCAAGAATGAAAATTCACTTCTTTCAAAAACAATGAGGCTCTACAATACTAATTACCGCCTTCTTATCACAGGAACACCTCTTCAGGTATCTATTACATGTATTCTTCTTATTACTTGCCTATTGCATTTTATACTTCAAAGTGGGTATGAGCCAAGGGTAATTTGTTAGAAACAGTTGATTTTTGAATGTTTTCTCTGTAGATTAGCTTGAAAGTGGGTTAAGATTGGTACATATTTAAATTAGTGAACTTGATTGAGGGTAAACTGTAATCAGGTAGATACTTTTTAGCAGCTTTATGGATGGCTATAGTTGAGGCATATAAAACTTCATAGTCCACCAAATTTTGTATACTTTTCTCCTTGTCAAGAATAGCCTCTATCTGAAAGTACATCAGATGCGAAGATTGCATCCATGATTTCGGCCAAAAGGAAATCTCACTGTTGCAATTAAAATGTTTAGTTTTGATTCCGTTGATGAATAAATTCTTTTATGCTTATAGCGCAAAAACATAGTCTTATTGTTTGAAGGCAGGCCATTTCTTGATGCAATGACAAAAGTTATAGCTGTAAGGCATGACGATGTAGGTCCAAGTCTAAAAGCAATTCTGTGTGAATAATGTCACAGTTTAGGTTTATACTCTAATGCTCTGTGAAGGTGGGACCAGAACTATTATTGATGCTAATTATATTCCAGCATGATCTTATTTCGGTTTTGCACCCTGAATTGATTTGATCTTTCCTTTTTGCGAAAATAAGATTTTAAATTGGGTTTTTTTTTGCATTGTTATGGTATTCTTTCTCATTAGCAAGGGCTGAATAGCAATCCTGGGAGGTTATTTTGTTTTTATATTATGATTTCTTATTGTTTTTAGTCTTTATAGAAGTCACTGTAATATGAACAGTGAGTTAATGTAATGCAGATCTAATATTCTTGGTATTTATTCTAATGAGCAGAACAATCTTCATGAACTCTGGTCTCTTCTGAACTTTCTACTGCCTGAGATATTTAGCTCAGCTGAAACTTTTGATGAATGGTTTCAAATTTCTGGTGAAAATGACCAGCACGAAGTTGTTCAACAACTTCACAAGGTAACCCAATATTTGCATAATTTTTGAGCTCTAATTTGTTAAATCCCATCTGAAACAAAATTGTTTTCTGTATTTTCGCTTATTTAAGGTCCTCCGACCATTCCTCCTCCGAAGGTTGAAGTCGGATGTCGAGAAAGGTTTGCCTCCCAAGAAGGAAACAATACTCAAAGTTGGTATGTCCCAAATGCAAAAGCAGTACTATAGGGCTCTACTGCAGAAAGATCTTGAGGTTGTGAATGCTGGTGGAGAGCGGAAGCGTCTCCTGAATGTAGCAATGCAGCTGCGCAAATGTTGCAATCACCCATATCTTTTCCAAGGTGCTGAACCTGGCCCTCCTTATACTACAGGAGATCATCTTGTTACAAATGCTGGTAAGTGTTGTACCAAAATGTTAGTTAACATGTGTCTGTAGTGATTGTTATAGCTTTTTCAATTGATTCATTAAATTGCAGGTAAAATGGTTCTTTTGGATAAATTGCTCCCAAAGCTAAAGGAGCGTGATTCAAGGGTCCTAATATTTTCACAGGTTAATTCCTTGAATGATTATTTTCTCAATGTTCTCTTGGGATCTTTATCTTGTCATATATGCCTGTACAGTTTTTTTAAAAACTATAATATCATTTGTTCTATGCTATATTGTGGCTCTCTTTTTTCATTCTAAATGTTTGGCTGGTACAATTTTTGTTGTAAAATTCAGATGACAAGGCTGCTGGACATTCTGGAAGATTATTTGATCTTCCGTGGATACAAGTATTGTCGGATTGATGGGAATACTGGTGGAGAAGATCGTGATGCTTCCATTGAAGGTTTTAATAAACCTGGAAGTGAGAAATTTGTCTTCTTACTATCAACTAGAGCAGGAGGCCTTGGTATCAATCTTGCTACCGCAGATGTTGTCATTCTTTACGACAGTGATTGGTAAGATTTTTATTTGTTTTTACCAGGTGATGTTAGGGATTGTATTAAAATCTCTAAATTTGGTGGATCTCTTCATCACACTGCAGGAACCCACAAGTTGATTTGCAGGCTCAGGACCGTGCCCATAGGATTGGACAAAAGAAAGAAGTTCAAGTGTTCCGTTTCTGTACTGAGGTTCAACTTGTTTTGTGCACTGCATTAGTAAGCTATGTTTTCTGGAATTATAATGTAATATGTATTGTTATCTTTTAATTGATTGTCAACAGTATACTATTGAGGAGAAAGTGATCGAGAGGGCTTACAAAAAGCTTGCACTTGATGCTTTGGTGATACAACAAGGACGGTTAGCAGAGCAAAAGAGTAAGTGGTTGGTGTACAAGTTTCCTTTTTGTACTTATTTCGTAAAAGGGGTACATCGTTATCATGAATTGAATATTTGAATTTTGTCGAGTAATTTGGTGCTGCTCTTTTGTGGTGTTTTTTTTCGCAGCTGTTAATAAGGATGAGCTACTGCAAATGGTGAGGTTTGGTGCTGAAATGGTTTTTAGTTCCAAGGATAGCACAATTACAGATGAGGATATAGATAGGATCATTGCCAAGGGAGAGGAGACAACAGCTGAGCTTGATGCAAAGATGAAGAAATTTACTGAAGATGCCATAAAATTTAAAATGGATGATAGTATGTGGATTCTTATTCAACATTAAGACTCAAGCTTCTTTTCCTTCTGCATTTTATTTTGGCTTCTTCCTATTGCCAAGGAAGGCTAAATGCAGTTTATCTGGACTTGTGCAGCTGCTGATTTATATGATTTTGATGATGAAAAGGATGAAAAGTTAGATTTCAAGAAAATTGTCAGTGACAATTGGATTGAACCACCAAAAAGAGAGAGGAAACGCAAGTAAGAGTGATTTCTATTTATCCCTTGCATTATGTTGCTATGCTTCTTTTATCATAAGTTGAAACATGATTTTCTTGTCCACTTTGTCAGTTACTCGGAATCTGAATACTTTAAGCAAACAATGCGCCAAGGTGGTCCGACAAAACCAAGAGAGCCTCGAATCCCTCGCATGCCACAGTTGTAAGCATCTCTTCAAATTGTTTCCTTCTTGGATTGAGTTTAGGCTCGGAGCTGTGCTTTATATGTCTTGTCTTGTTCTGTTTACAGGCATGACTTCCAGTTTTTTAATACACAGAGGTTAAACGAGCTGTACGAAAAAGAAGTACGCTATCTCATGGTGAGTCTTATGTGATAAATCACCATATCTCTTCTGCTTTGATTCTGACATTGTTAAAAGTTCAGAAAATTTATTTGTTTTTATCTTATTTTACTTTTCATATTTTTCAGCAAACACATCAAAAGAATCAGTTAAAAGATACGATAGATGTGGATGAATCTGAAGGTAAGTTGCCTTTTTTCTTGAAAGTATGTCTTTCCAATCTACCTTTCCTTCATTGAGGCCTCCACTAATTAAGTGTTCATGATCTAGAATTGGGAGACCCTTTGACTGCTGAAGAACAGGAAGAAAAGGAGCTTCTTTTAGAAGAGGTAAGTGGATAATCTAATGTGCAATATGTTGTCATTGTAGTCCTCCTTAGCAAAATCTGAGACTCTGGATTGTAGGGATTTTCAACTTGGAGTAGAAGAGATTTCAATACCTTCCTCAGGGCCTGTGAAAAGTATGGTCGGAATGACGTAAAAAGTATTGCTTCTGAAATGGATGGTAAAACGGACGAGGAAGTCGAAAGATATGCAAAAGTTTTTAAAGGAAGATACAAAGAATTAAATGGTAAGTGGTAGTAAGTCCCATGCAACAGGATCTTCTAGGTGGATTTGTTAATTCTATGCTACTTTGATTTAGGTGAAATTGAATGTTTTGTCATGACACAAATTAAATTAATTTCCCCTGCAATCTAGTGCTTGCAATGCCCTTAATTTTTGTCTTGAATCTAACGAATTGGATTTGCAAAGACCCGTTTTTGACCTGATGACCCGTTGATTGAGCTTTGTGTGGGTCAAGCCCACCAAAACCCAGTTTTTTTGCTTGCGGGCCGTGAACCCTATTTAGTACTCTCTTGTAGCCCGGTATATAAGGGCGCTTAAGGTTTGGAGTGGGATAATTGACACTTAAAATCGCAAAGAAAGAGAGAGAGCGAGAGCTAGGGTTTGGGGGCTGAAACTTGTAATCTCGTATTTTTCGCATAGTGAAAACTTTCTTCAGATCTCTACCATGGACGTAGGCTTTGCGAACCACGCTAAATCTGTGTTCTTTGTGTGTGGTGTGTTTACTTTTCTCTCGTGTTTCTTGATGTGTTCTTGGGTTCGCTGCGTTTGTCGTAACAATTGTATTGGTGGTTCAGTTGGCTAGAACGATAAAAAAAAAAATGATTTAGTGGATGTATGTGAAGTACCTTTTATTGGCACCTAATTAATTTTGAAAGTATGTTGTTGGTTGGGATAGACCTGTAAAGTTAGATGGAAACCCATGTTTTCTTTTAAAATTTTGAGGCATGTTGTAATTTTTTTAAATTGCAAAATATGGTCTTTCCAGATTATGATAGAATCATCAAGAACATTGAAAGAGGGGAGGCTAGAATATCTAGGAAAGATGAGATCATGAAAGCAATTGGGAAGAAATTGGATCGCTACAAGAACCCATGGCTGGAATTGAAGATCCAGTATGGTCAGAACAAAGGGAAGTTGTACAATGAAGAATGTGATCGTTTCATGGTGAGATGTCCGGAAAATCCCATGTTTTGGAGGAATAGTAATGGTTTATTTTATTTGGATTTTAATGTGTTACATGAAATGCTCATTGTATTCATATAGATATGCATGGTTCACAAGCTCGGGTATGGGAACTGGGATGAGTTGAAGGCAGCATTTCGCACATCACCCTTGTTCCGTTTTGACTGGTTTGTGAAGTCTCGCACTACTCAAGAACTGGCAAGGAGATGTGATACCCTCATTCGATTGGTGGAGAGAGAAAATCAAGAATTAGATGAAAGGGAGAGACAGGCCCGCAAAGAGAAGAAGCTTGCCAAGGTGAAATTATGTTAACCTCTCTACTAACCTCTTTTCATTACTTAATGCTGTTCTTATTGGTTCATCACTGTTATTATTAATCTTTTTTGGAAGGTTAAGGAAACTCACGCACCCATGCTTCCACTGAGGCTCGAACTTCCCACCTCCCCTTTGGGGAGGAGGGGAGCTGGGCCTGTACCAGCTGGGCTATTGTCCATTTGGTGTTCATCACTGTTATTGTTTCTCTGCTCATCATATTTTTGCATTTTCGGTTCCCTTGTTTGCTCAATTAAACGTTAGTTCAAATATTCATCGTCCCAAGCCACTGAATCTTATAAATTCGAGCATTTTGTTTTTCCAGAACATGACACCATCAAAGCGTGCCTTGGCAAGGCAGGCAGCTGAGAGCCCCCCTTCAACTCTTAAGAAGCGGAAACAGTCAACAATGGATGACTATGTCAGCCCGGTATATATTTGTTCTTGATTACAGAACATGCACTCTAATTTCTCTAACGTAGTTATTTTCCCGTGGCTATACCAAAGCTGATTTTTGGTATTTCTGCAGGGAAAGAGGAGGAAATGAGGAATACAACGGGTTGTGCTACCAAACCCTTTGCCTATACTATTTCGGGATTTCTATTCAGGCGTGGCAGAGACCGCCACTATCCCATGACAAGAAATCACTATATATTTAGATTACAGAAGGTAGTTCTGAAAGCTGTTTAGATTAATATAGGAAAAGTGTATAATTGACGACATTGCGCCACCAACTAAGAGGGAGTGAGGTGGTGGACTGCACACACTTCAGTCAACGTCGGCAATTGTAGCATTGCTCATTAATATATTGGCTACTAAAGAAAAGAGAGACTACATTCCATTGAAATTCTCAGGCCATTGTTAATGCCATTTTGTTGGCTGGCATTTGTTTGGAGAGATTTTTTCCAATGTTCCCTAGACATGAGGAATTTTGTTTGATCATGAGCAGCTAGAAAAATACTCGTGTACTGGTGCAACCTCCTTGCACTATAGTCTATACTTCAAGACAGAAAAATTCTCGAACTTTCAATTTCGCATTAAATTATCTTGAACATTGCATTTTGGCATTTGCCTCTCTTAGTTAGAATACCGTTTAAAAATAGTTTTTAGTTAATGTGGCAGTCATGGACTTTGATAATGATGAAGTTTACTAGGAAGTATTTTGCAACAAGCATATATGTACTTAACCTTCTGCAATTAGTCTCTTGGACTATTTTTTGAACCAATCCCTCTTCTCTTATTTTTCAAAAGAGTAATGCTCTTGAGAGCTCCCCTGAGTTCTTATTTTGAAAGATGTATTAAATAATCGGAAAAAAATTGTCTTGATCCAAATGTGAAGAGTTTACCACCTTTTACACCATTCTCGTAATGACATTATTCTTCTCAAAACCATGCATGATGAAGCTGATAGATGATTATTAAGCCTATTAACTAAATTAAAAAAACAACTCTCAAATGTTTTATCTTGAACATAGTCAATTGATTTAGGTCTAAGTTTGTTATATTTATTTTATTTTATCAAGGAAACTCCCTTTAAAAAGAAAAATAAGAGATCTATAGTTCTTAAAAATTAACTTTTGTTCTTAGACAAATAAAAAGCCACGATAGTTGAAGAATAATTATACTTCAAGTGATCCAATGTATCAAGTGATAATTTGTTTATATTCTTACCATAATAATTATACTTTAACCGATTTTAAAGTGATCCATTGTATTTTTTATATTTTTAAATGATCCGTCTATTAAACTGATAAATTCTTTATAAGAATTTCAAGTGATTTACTGCATTAAAGTATTAAATTCTTTTTGTCACGCATCTAAGCTTAAAAATGGGTCTAAATAACATTATTAAAAAATAATAAATAAATACACATCTAAGATTCAAAAATGAGTTCAAATAACATTATTAATCTAACAATCTTTCCATTAAAAAAATTAAAAAAAAAAAGGCTAGTAATAAAAAAAAAAGGAAAAAGTAAAAAAATTAGATAAATAGATCGATGCTACAGGCGAGGAGTGGACAGAGAGAGAGAGAGTGAGAGACTCAAACGGAGGAAGAGTGGAGAGTGAGAGAGCTTGAGAGGGAATGAAGGAAACAGAGACGTTGAAATTTTTTGTGAAGGCAATGTACAGTCTGAAGGATCGTGAGGTGGTTTGTTGCTATCAACAAGATGAACTTCAAGTTCTCAGAAACGATGATGCAAAGGGCCATGACTCTCATGATTTGTGACATCCACACCCATTTCCGCGGTAAGGAAGCCACCGACCGACTCCGTGGCGAAATCGAAGCCAAATCCAAGACTCATTCATGGTTTCGTAGTTTCTAAACTTTTATCACCTCTCTCTCTCTATTAGGGTGGGTTTTATGGAAAGGAACATGTATGTTTGGTTGTTAAACATGCTTTAGTGACTATATTAGGGTTTATGAGGATATATGGTGGAACTTATTAACTCTCTTCATTATTTAGTGTTATATATATAATAATCTATTATGTAATCAATGCTTTTGATTGATTGGTATTATCATTTTAATTTTGTGTTTGTTTGTTGTTAGGGTTTATGCTTGTTTGAATTTTTAGGGTTTGATAGCGCTTTTCTGTTTTTGAGTGTGGTGAGTGCAGTATGTTCAGCATTCAGAGAAATTTGGGCAAAGACAGGTTTATGGTGGTGGTCGCATGATAAGTGTTTGATATAATGCCCATTAGGGTCTCTCTCTGCAGGTGTCAGGTGGTTTCGATGCATTTTAAAGAAAAATGTTAATCTGTGTTTAATTGTGATGATCCAATTTTATAACATTAACGTGGAGCTCAAGCTAACATGATATCAATATATCTATTGTTTGATTCATTCCCAGGGTATTGGCTTTGAGTCATTGCTTCCAAGGACCATAATGTTTTTGAGTTGCAATACTGCAATATTGCTGAGAATGAGGGTGAGGTGGCTTTCATGCATTTTTATGAAAAATGGTAATCTGTGTTTAATAGTAATGATTTAAGTTTATAACATCAATCTCGAGCTTAATGTCACGAAGTGATTCCTAAGACGCTTGGAGGATGGAAGACACGCATGCTGGTTGGCAAAGAGCAGAGTTTGACTGGGAATGGTTCCAGGGAAGGGGCGTGCAGGAGCACAGGATGGTACCTCTTCAGAGTTCAGGCAGGTCGACTCGGTTCAGTTCGAGGTGCTTGTCGCTGGTCTTGGACTTGACTATGAAGAAGGGAGTTGGCCATCCCTGCACAAACTGGTCGGGAGCTGGAGCCGTTCCCCTGACGAGGCCATGGCAGGCCGAAACCAGTCAGCATGTATCCTTGGGAGGGCAGGTCGTGGTGGCTGACCAGGGCGCTTGCGCGAGCTGAAGCAACGCCTTGGTGCCGCACGGGCCGTGCCGCTGCGCCAAATCTCTAGGCCCGTGACAAATGGTATCAGAGCAGGACTTGGGGTAAAGCACGGTGGGGTACCCCCTTGTCGGTCCAGGAGGGGTCAGAGAATGAAGACGGTGCATTGAAGTTGCGTCGATGTGGAGGAATCAATGCAGTTGGGGGGGAGAGCCTCCATCTCCCCAGGAAGAGGCGTCCGTTGAAGTTGCGCATTGAAGGGCCGGAGGGCCGCGCGCACCAAAGTTCGTGCTTAGTCCTTGGGTGATGCAAACCATGGTGAAGGGCGAGCATCAAGTCGGCAGAAGGCCATTGCTTGCTCGGGATGTCGCGGAGGCGGCATGACGGAGAAGAGTCACGTCCTTGAGGAGTGGACGTCCCCTTGGTCCGAGGCCTATCATTGGGCGAGTGCAGTGCAGGGAACTGCACAAGGAAGCGATGGTGGGAAGGTGAGCATACCGCATGGAGGCAGACTTTGGAAGGGAGTGGACGCAGTAGTGAAGCGCCGCACTGCGACGAGGACGTCGCAGGATTTGGGTGGGGGAGAATGTCACGAAGTGATTCCTAAGACGCTTGGAGGATGGAAGACACGCATGCTGGTTGGCAAAGAGCAGAGTTTGACTGGGAATGGTTCCAGGGAAGGGGCGTGCAGGAGCACAGGATGGTACCTCTTCAGAGTTCAGGCAGGTCGACTCGGTTCAGTTCGAGGTGCTTGTCGCTGGTCTTGGACTTGACTATGAAGAAGGGAGTTGGCCATCCCTGCACAAACTGGTCGGGAGCTGGAGCCGTTCCCCTGACGAGGCCATGGCAGGCCGAAACCAGTCAGCATGTATCCTTGGGAGGGCAGGTCGTGGTGGCTGACCAGGGCGCTTGCGCGAGCTGAAGCAACGCCTTGGTGCCGCATGGGCCGTGCCGCTGCGCCAAATCTCTAGGCCCGTGACATTAAGCTTACATGATTTCTGAAGAGTCATCTTAGAGGCCTCACCATCCTCCTGCTTGAATGCGGAAATGCTCAAAAGCTTTGTTAAGGTCTGGTAATGTAGACAATGGACCTACCTGAAATATTTTGATTTTGCTAGTGACAGACAATATACCTGAATTGACCCAAAAATGGTCCCAAGGAATCCATGTTTGCCTTAGGTGCTTCCTATTATTTTCCAAATCCACATCCTGAAGAAAAAAAAAGGCGTAGAATCGATGGTCTCGTGCTCTGTTTGTTCTAGGAGGTCCTGTAGCTCATACTTTGCCACTTTCTTGTCTTGATATCTGTGGGACATGAATATTGCAGCACCATTCGTGCGAAAGAGAAAATTGCTTGGCAACATGGAATGGTTCTTGTCAGTGTGCCAATTTTGGCATAGGATCTCAGTGTTCACAAACAGGGCAGGGGGTTTATGTGAACTCTTTGCAGGTGTTTTGCTACATCAGTGATACAGTTCCAATACTACAATCCACGCCAGTCCCCATTCTGAATTTCTTGATTATCAGAAAGGTTGGAAATGTTATGAAAAATAAATATATATGTATATATATGCATCTTGAGGTTTAATGTTCTTTTATATCTGTGGTCATTGAGAAGCTTACTGTTGCAGCCTCCCCAATCTTGAGTTAGTGATTTTTTTATGGTTAGTGCTCTGCTAAGAGATGGAAGAATGCAAGTTTCCTCACCTAAGCCTGATCTTTTGTTTATCTTGATTTGGAAAGCCATTTTGTCGGGTCAAAATTGGTCGTGGTGATGAATTTGTCTGGTAGGTGATGAACATTGGGTAGGTGGTTGCAAGCCAAGTGTTGTAAGTGGATATTGACCTTTATCTTGTTTACAAGGTATAGGAATGTAGAGGCTGCAACAGTTATCATTATGATATTGTGGGGAGGAACGGAGCTAGTAAACTTGGGAGACCTAAGATGCATTGCAGGATTGTGGCCATGAAGAAGAGAAGAGTGGGTACAGTTGCGTGAGCTCTTGCCAACATTGATCTAGTTTGTTTTGGCAAATGCGATGTGCGATGGCTTTTGTTAAGTTAGGGAGTGAAGGAGGCAGTGGCTTTTGTATGGAATAGGACATGCTAAAGATGGAGAGGGAGAGACTAATTGTTAAACTAAAACTGATAAGAGACTGAATGTAGGGCTGCCGGCACTTGTTTGAATGAATGGAATGGTGAATGAAAAGTCATTTTTTGCATTCGAAAACTGCTTTCTCAGTTGCCTGCTTTTGTGGTATTATGATATCATTATATACCTAGTTGAACATATGTACAGCATTACCACTGTTATTCAACCTTTATGGCTCAATTTTTTATTTTTTATGGGTTGATGTCTCTGGGCAAGTCTTAAACATTGGTGCTAGTCGGAATCAACTTTAAAGCCTCGTAATCAGACCTCACATTGATTGAAGCACCTGTTGGAGAGAAGGAACCAGTCCGACCTACAAGCACTGGGTAGTATACTAGTAGTATGCAGGATGAAATGAGGAACACAACGGTTGTCCTATCAAACCCTTTACCTTTACTATTTTGGGATTCCTATCCTCTGGCAGGAAATCACTATATATTTAGATTACGTAAGGTACTTCTGAAAGTTGTATAGATTAATATAGGAAAAGTGTATAATTGACAACATTGTCACACCAAAAGATAGGGATGTGAGTTAACTCACACAATTTTTTAAACGGGTGTCGTTTTCACGCTTCAAAC